ACCGGCAGGGCAGCTTGGGGACTGGCTGAATCAAAACATTTGCGGATATTTGCGGATATCCGCTTTGGCTCCCACTAGCCCACGGCTAGCAGCTAGAGTTTCGAGAACCACAAAAGTCATCAAAAAGTACTGCGTGGGCATCGTGTATGCCCTGCGCAGGCACAGCGCCAAAAAGTTCAGATGGCAGCCAGGTCGCAAGTTTTTCAATATTGCTGACACACCGCTATGCTCAGTGGTCTCTGGCTTTGATGAGGCCTGGGAATCAAGGTAGCTCTCACTTGCTTCCATTGATTAGGCAGCGGGGCACCTTGAAGGCAACCAAATAGTCGAAAAAAGGAAGTCTAAGTGGCAACTGGTTCCAGCTGGCCGCTAGTTGTCCGGTCCAGCTGCTTTCCGGGCGGCTTTTCACACAATTTTTGCAATTGCTTACCAGATAGTGAAATATCAGGACTAAACTGCGTGGCAAGGGGTACAAACTCAAGGTATTCCTCTAATTTGGCAGGGTCAGGCATGACCTGTGGGTTTCACAAGTTGCCCCAGAAGTCCAGAAGGATGCCAATTTTTGAACTAAAATTTGGGGGTGTGGACTATCTGCTGTCCGAACGGCAGGTTTTCCATCCAAAGGGCTGGCTTTCATCCAAGAGGCGAGCCGGTGCACATCATGTTGGGTTTGCTCTTTCCAATTGCTGATGCATTGTTCAGCACGTGTTTTGGCTTCCTTGCCGGCAAGGTAACAAAAGATAAGGCTTCAGCAGAGCCTCTGGGGCAGTCGGCCAACTCGGGGAGCCTAGAAGACATTAAGTGGGAGGCAAGTTTGGAAATATTATGCTGTAACTTCTCATTATGCGGCTGAGAAATTATGAGAAATTGGTTCGTTGCTTTTCTTAGCCAGGCGGCTAACTGCCGCTCTTTCAAAGTTTGAAAAGTTGGAGCCTTGGTGGACTGGCGTGAGCTCTGCGGTTCAGGCACACGCGTCATGGCGTCCCTTGAATTTTTTGAAGTTCAGCAGCTATACTTAAGAGATTCCACGCTGCGTCAGGGTCACAGTTACAGTATTAATAGCACGTTCAAAGGCAAAGCTTCGTGTGGCCCATATGGCATTCCAACAGTGCCGCGTCACAGGCTGGGAATCAAGCCGGGCGCAGCGAGGCCATTTCCATAGTGGAAGGTCACAATTAATATAAAGGCAATGGCAATGGCACACTAAATCATGATCTGCAAGGCTACGTTGCTGCAAACGATCAAGGGGAACCAATTCGCGGGTGGCTAAAATATAGTCCTGCCCAGAAGATTCCTTTTGGCATCACGATGCGTTCCTTGGTTGCAGGTTGGGCCTGCCACATCATCGAAATCATATATAAAGTAAGCCTGTTGCAAGGGCAGAACCCGGCCAGTGCTCTGTCGGGAGATTGAAATCACCTAAGATGCCCCAGTCTTCACCTGTGGCAAATGCCCATTGAAAAATTGAAAGGCTGCGTCAGCTGTTTGGGCCGCCAAGCGTTGGCTGGAGGCATGGCAATAGCAATTTAACAAAAGGAAAGGACGCTTTTGCGGCCTGTGTACTTTAATCGCCATCAGGCGGCCAAGAACCGGAATTCTGAGGGACTTGGATTTGTTCGGTCGGCCAGTGGCTGAAAATCACCGTGCCCCCATGGGATTGGCTTGCACTGGTTTGGTTCTGGGACCTTACATGACAATTCCATGGGGCCTTTTTTTCAACTTTCTGCACTGCATTGTATCTTCATTGAGCCGTGCCTCTTGCAAACATAAAATATCAATATTTTGGGAAACAGCGGCATCGGAAACAGCACCTGATTTGCATCTCAAAGTTCGCACATTGAGTGTGGCAATTCGGAACGTCTCTGAAGATCTTCAGTCATGTTTTCCATTATTAGGTGTTGGAATGTCCGCATGTTCTGCCATGATGTTTCGGGAAAAAGTGATTGCATCTCTGTTAGCCCCTCTGGCTTTTTTGTAAGCTTCATCCAGCTTTCGGATTTAAGGATGCTTTTTTTGGCACCCATCCATTGCAAGAGCGAAGCATTTTGACTTCGCGATGTGTGCCCTGCGAGTGGGCACCTGGCGGCATTTTTGGCACATGTTTTTTTTCAAGTTGCTCCAGAGGCCAGGGCAAGGCCGCAATGTCATGTTCACCCTGCGCGGCATTGTAAGGTTCGATCCAGGACAAAGTTGTACAAAACTAACTGTTTCTTCAGCTCATCAGGAATAGTTTTGTCATCAATCGCTGCTCTGATCCGCACCAAAAGTTTGCAACTATTGGGCCCGCCTCTGCCGGCCACATCGCATCTCATTTTCTTCAGTTCTGGCAAAGAGTGAGAGATGGCTGCACATTTTTTACACACCGCGTTGGTCGTGTAATGGCCTTTTTTCACTTTTGTGTTCCCGGGAGTTGGAGGAAACTTGGGAAAAATTACATCGTGGTCTCCTTGAACGCCGGCTTTTAAGGCCAATAGCCAGTAAACGTTTGGAGACGCCAGCGCTATTTTTGGCCAACGTGGCCTTGGCAAACCCTTTATTGCTCCCTTGGAGGAGGAACATTTTTGAGCCAGCCTTGGGGTGATCAGCTTCACGATGCTCCATTCGCATGCTATAGTGCACATCTCTGTCAACTATGTCTTTGCTGATTTCCAGGTCACACAGTGGGCATTTCCAAGTACAATCAGGTGTCCACTTGATCAGCTTTGGTTTGGCTCGCAGTAACACCAGTGAAACAACCACATTCATGGCAAGTCCAGGAGTTTCTTGCGGCCCGTTTCTTCTAGGCCTTTCATCTGCCACAGGTGATCGCATTGGCAAATCATCATCGGTTTCCTTGGGTGCAGGGCGGCTACCTATAGGCACAGGACGTGCAGAGCGAGGAAGTTCATTCATCAGCGATCCCTGACTTGCTTCGCTGTAGTGTGATGAAGGTGGGAGCCACGAAGCGTGTTGTGCCCCACACTGGGAGCTGTCCTCTGTCTTTTAACGGAAGAGCTATAGACGCACTGCTGGCAGGTAGCCAACTCGTAAAACTCTTAAATTTCCTCTTAGCTCCTCCACGGTGGTCATTGGCACTAAAGTTGCTGCTTGGCACTTCGGCATTCCAAGAAGGACGTCACATCCAATGTTCATTGGTTCCAAGGTCGTATAGTGGCTGCCTTTAAGGAACAAAGGCAAAGGGTCAAACTGCTTGGCAATGGCGAGGGCTAAGAATTCCACACGCGGTGTAATGAAGGCAACCCTTACAAGGTTGCGTTTTAATCTGGAAGAAATCCCTATGAGAGTCGGTCCACAGACCCATCTGCCCGGTCGAGCTATATGGCTTTGAGCCACTCCTCGTAAGAGGTTGGTATCGGCCCCCCCTCGGTTTATTCGGTCCAATAGGGTCCGGGCACCATGCTCCTTGAAAAACAGAGCGGCACCCAGTTTCTTGGCATTTCAAGTCCCTGCCTGTTGCTATTGCATAGCTCACGGAAGCGGCTCTATAGCAGCAGTCGCCTTGGCCACCCCCATCCAACATTGGATGACCAAAAGGCCAGGGGCTTGCTTCCCATTCTCTGTCTTAAGTTGTTTCTTTTCGGAAAAAAGGTCTTTGGCTTCAGGCGCTCTCTTTGCTTCTTCGGGAGTTCTCTTAGTTTCAGCTCCCATTTTGTCATCATCTTGCGTGGGTTTAGTAGCTTCATCCTGTGTGTCCAATGGCGTTGCTTCCACAGGAGGCAGCGCTGGTTTGGCATCCGCACAATTATTGATTTTGTTCCAAGAAGAGGTAGGTTTGGGAAGAAGGTCGGTGCCTGCCTTGGCTTTGATTTTTTTGCTTCCTCTTGATAGGTCGCCGGCTAGCATGGTGGACAATGATTGTATATTCACTGGTTTCATAAACATGACAAACATCGTTGTTGGGAGCTGTGGCACGGACCTGCCATCCTCTGGCATTTGAGAGTGCAGTGACATCTTTCCACTCTTGTTTTGTCAAAAAATTGCAAACTTTTCAACTGACCATGCCCGAGGTGCTCCTTCAACTTGCCAGTGAGTGGTTTTTGGTTCAACTGGCAAAGCAGCGTCAGCTTTGGATCTGCGCTCGCCCAAAGTTGTGCCTTTACCCTGTCTAAGTGCGACCCCGCTTCCTTCTGCTTCAGAAAAGCATCTTTCGTATTCTTTCGTAATATTGGATCCGGGATTCCCCAATCAAAGGTGTGACCCCATCAACGACGGGTTTTGGTCCATGCCGGGCCAGGTTGTCAATAAAGAAACCTTGGCCACCTGAGAGACCTAAAAGCTGACTTGTGCAGGTGCTGACAATTTTTAAGAATCCAGTCGCTTGGTCATCAGTGTGATTTGCGGAGAATAAACGCCACCAATATGTGCTGATGAAATTTGGCAATGTTACGTCACAGGTCCGGTATGGTACGGTGTTGGGGGTGGGGTGGAGCGGGGTGGGTTGGGGCAGCAATGTTCATGCACATGTTCATACATTACTGACTTCACATCACCGCCATGTCTCTTGCAGTGCCTAACACGCTTGCACGCCACGTCACAGGTACGGTGTTGGGGGTGAGGTGAGGTGGGTTGGGGTGGGGCAGTGACGTTCATGTACATGTTCGTATATACATTACTGACTTCACACAACCCCACTGACTTCACATAACCGCCACGTCTCTTGCAGTGCATTGAGGAAGATCATGGCTTAAGACAATGTGCAGCAAAATTGCATTGGCCAGCTCGCAGCGCTTCGGGAACCAAAAGAATCCACATTCTGTAAGGGCTCACGTCCCCAAGAAATAACATAAACATCTATGTCTATGATTCTATGTTGCATTTTGCACGACCAAAATCAAAATTTCGCCATGATGAAAGCCCCACTTTCTTACAATTGTGGGACGGTGAAAGATCCGCCGGGACATGTATGAAAAAGATGAAATAATGTTTGCACATACACCTGGCCCGTCCAGTTCTGCAAAAATCCCTGACAATCTATGCAATGCTAATTCGCAGCCAGGTACATAAAAAATCAAATTCATCATGGCCAGCTGCCCAGGTGTGGAGGTGGCTAAGGGGCACAGCACCACCAAAGCATTTCTCACAAGGAAAAGCACTGAAGCAATCTCAGCGCCAGGTCGGAAACGTCGGATCAGGAAGGAGTAGCTCTCCAAACATTTTGCATCTGACCTCGCAGTGAATGCTACCCCGATCCCACCCCTTCATCGCCATCATTAGGTAGTTGGTCAACGGGTGGGTGAGGTGACATCCCAAGTCTTATAATCAACCGATAGCCAGGTAGCCCAATCCAAACGCTATTTTCCCGACACAGGGTATCCACACTGAGGGACTCATACGGTCAGGGGAAAGGCCGGTGCTTGATCAGGGTGCACCAGCTGTTGGTCGGCTTTTCTCCTGTAAATTTTCGCATAAAATGCGATGTCCAAGTGCATGTCGACTGCGCAGGCTCGCACAAAGTCTGCCCCGCGAGTTTTGCTCGCTCTTGGCCTGCGACATTTTACTCTTTGTGCATTTCGACTGCGCAAGCTCGCAGAAGGCACTTTCCTGGAAATTCTCAACAAAATAGTTATTCTCAGATGTCCAAATGAATTTCGACGGTGCAGGCTCCAACAAAACGTGCGGCTGATTTCTGGGGCGCGGCATTTTTCCTGTAAATTCTCACAAAACATGCACCTTCTGAGATGTCCAAGTGCATTTCGACTGCGCAGGCTCGCAAAAAATGCGCGGCTAATAAAATGGGATCTTGTACAGGCCCTTGTGAGAAGCTCTTGCGGAGATCCTGACAAAGTCCTCTCTAAGAGGTCCTTGCATGATCTTGTACAGGTCTTGTGAGATTCTTGTGGAGATCCTGGCGGGCTCCTCTCCAAGAGGTCCTTTCATGATCTGCATAGCTCCATGTGCGAAGATCTTGCGGAAAATCCTCCCATGTACAGGTCCTTCTGAGAAGATCTTGTGAAGAACCTACTGAAATCTAAGAGGTCATTGCATGATCTTATACAGGTCCCTATGAGAATATCTTGTGTTGATCCTGGCGAAATACTGTCTTGCGTGATCTTGTACAGGACCTTGTGGGTAAAATCCTCTGGGTGTCCTTGCGTGACTTGTACAGGTCCTTTTGGGAAGATCTGGTGGAGATCCTGTCCAAATCCTCCCTAAAAGGAGGCCTTGCGTTAAGATCTTGAATGCTCTGCATCATCCTGGCAAGTCCTTCACAGAAGATCTTGTAGAGATCCTGGTGCGACCCTCTCTAAGAGGTCCTTTCATGCAGATCTTGCAGATGCCATGTCTTACAGGTGCTTGTATGAAAGCTCTTGTGGGGGTTTCTTGGGAGGTTCTTGTATCAAGATCTTGTGAGATCCGCTCCAGCAGCAGCAGGTCCTTTCATGACAATCTTGTCACTTTCTCTCAGGGACCCTGGCATGAAGATCTTGGTCCAGGTCTTGTACAGGTCCTTGTGAGAAACTCTTGTGTGTCCCAGCGCGCTGCTGTCAGAAACCTTTTTGCATGACCTTGTACAGGTCCTTGTGGGAAGCTCTTGGGGAGGTCCTGGTGAAATCCTCTAGATGTCCTTACATGGTCTCGTGCAGGTCCTTGTGCGCAGATCTTGTGGAGATCCTGTTGACATCCTCCTCAAGAGGTCCTTGCATTAAGATCTTCAAGATCCTCTGCGTTGGTGCTTGTCTGAAAGTTTTTCTGGGATGCTACTAGGAAGCTCTTGTATGAAGATCCTGTGAGCTCCTCTATAGAAATCTATATATAATATAGAAGGTCCTGCTGCTGCAGTTGCGATCATGACTAACCTCATCTGTTGCTGTTCCACACCTACTGTTGCATGTATATAGTACATTGACTTCCTAGCCCCCACACTGTTTGGGGTCTCTTGCCGGTGTAATATGAGTTTAAGTAATTGCTCTCTTTGAAAAGCATTGTCGTGGATGCCCTCCCAGCCCCCGTCTCATTGCACACAGCGGTCTATTTTGGCCGGAGACTCACCTGGCCAAGCGGGCGGGAAGATGCACCAGCACCACCCATGTACAAATTGCCAAGAACAGCACGGGCATCAAGCACGCAAAACCTGCCCACAAAAACATACTTGAGGCCGGGGGTGGATGACGAAAGCTAGCGGGGTAGGAGAAAGAAGGAAGGGAAGAGGTGAGTTGCGGAGGGACTGTCATCATCGTGTTGCGGCATTGTTCGTCCCAACAAGGATGCAACAATGATATATGATATATGATATATAACAATGATATATATGGGGGAGGGGGCAGGGGGGGGCCCTTTCGCGTGAAAAATCACGTGATGTCCTTGGGGAGCCCCGGAATACTTGCTAAAGCAAGAAGACTCTAGCGAGCTGACGCTAGCTTTCGTGATAATGCCAATAATTGCCAATAATGATAAAAATGTAATTGAATAACGATGATGATGACGATGACGATGACGATGATGATGACGATGACGATGACGATGACGATGACGATGATGATGATGATGATGATGATGATGATGATGGTGGTGATGGTGGTGGTGATGGTGATGGTGGTGGTGGGGGGGGGGTCCCCCCCCCTTTCGCGTGAAAAATCACGTGATGTCCTTGAGCAGCCCCCGGAATACTTGCTAAAGCAAGAAGACTCCAGCTAGCTGACGCTAGCTTTCGTGAAAAAGTAAGCAGCACTAAACGACATATTTCCAAGTGATTCCCAAAAATGGATGAAGCAATTGGGAACATGTTTAAGATTGAATAAGCAAATCCAAGAACCTCCGATGATGAACATCTCAAGGTGTTGGCCCTCTGCATCGCAATATACGGTTGCATAGCGTTTTAAGGTGGAGGTCCCATTGGGATGGCTATGGCATTGGAAGGGCGCCAGCAGCATGGAAAATAGGACAATGAAGAAGACCAAGAAGGTCGTCCCCATGGTTCTCCACAAATTGCTGCCTTGGAAGGTCTTTGAGCGTGTGCATAGAAGGAAGCACAAGTGTACCACCAAAATCGCGAACATCAGCACAGGGATCACGAGACTCCTCAATCCGAAAAGAGCCACAGGACCCATGGACGTCACACAACTCACGCTCAGCATCTCTAGATCGAAACTCAAGAATTCCAGGAACACCAAGACGCTGGCAAAGGGTTCCTTCCAATTGATGTCAAAGCGCCGCATCACTGAAAGCATCTGGACAGTGACCAGGAGCAGTTGAAGGCTGCACGTCATCATCAGGGAGCCGGAACCCGACTGTCGTTGAGTCTCCTTCTTGAGCCCGATGTACAAACAGGTCACACCAATAGGGATGATGAAACAAACAGTGATGAAAAATGCATAGTCACCACCGCCACACGCTTCACAAGTGCCATTCCCAGAATCTCGCAGCCCGTCCTGGCAATCGTTGCAAGCAATGCTCTGGTTGTCACGGCCTGCAGCACAAGCACCGGCAGGACCACCAGGACAATAGTCTTCGTTGAGGCAATGAAAGACGTCATTGGGCGCATGGGACTTTGAGAAGTATCCTCGTTTGAGGCTGAGGCGATTCATGCCAGGGCAGTCGAGGCCATCACCACACTGCTGGCAACGTCCTTGCCACAAAAACCATCCCTCCTTGCAAAAGCATTTAGATTTTGCAGTTGCTCCCTGCAACTCGATGATTTTACCAGCACCAAATTCGTTGGTTGTCCAGAGTCCTGCTTCATCACCCATATCTGCACCACACTGGTAGCAAAAGCTCATGCCAGTGTCATTGGCGTACAGCCCCAGGCTGCACTTGTCACACTCTCGTGATCCCGAATTCGCTGCCATCGTGCCAATTTCACACAATTTGCATTCTGAAGCTCCGAAAGCGTTTTGGAAGGAACCGGGTGCACAAGGAGAGCACACTCGGGTATTCTCAAACTTCACCGAAACCCTTCCTGGGCTGCACATCTTGCAATCCACTGCTTCAGACTTTGATGTCACAAAGTTGTCCTGCAAATCCACCAGGCCTTTCCCAACGGCACAGGTGGTCCTGTCTGGCACCCAGACCTCCCAGGTTTCTTTGTTGGATTTCACCCACTCACAAGCTGTCTGCCATGAATCCTTGGTATCTGCACTTACCAACTGAATGAGCAACGCCTCAATGTCCTTGGAGCTGAAAATGAGGTTCTCGGCCAAACCAAGAGCTCGACTGGCCGCCACTTCCAAACCTGCCGCAACCAACTTGAACAGAATGTTTCTCGCATTCATGCTCCGATAGATGCCCTGAAGAATCTCTGCATCATGGCGCTCAGGGAACTGGACTGCAAGTTGCTGGTAGGCCACAAAGTTGGAATCGGGAGACCAGGCATAGAGTAGGGATTGAAGCTCGGTGTTGATGGCCACATAGTTATCGAAGGAAGAAGCCACTGCCATTCCAACCTTCATGTTGAAAAAGTTGGCTTTCTGTGTGATATCTGCGAAACCCCAGCCTTTACTTCCACTCACGATTGATATGCAATTTGCTGGATCTGTACGGCAAGCAGGAGCCAGCCACCACTTTTCATCCAACCAGCATTTGTATCCTGTCTGCCCATTTCTGTCTTCAACGCCATCAACGTCACCTGTGGCCTCTAGGTAAAATCGAGCAGCATCCGGGTATCCTTCATCCGTAATGTTGCAAGGCCGCAACTTGTTGGGATCCACGACTGAGATCTTGGCTGCATAGTTCTCGGGGTGGAACCAAGCAGAGTTGTAGTTGCCATAGTACGTCAAATGCAGACCTGCGGAGCTTGCCATGGCAGTACACCATAAGCTACTTGAATCACAAAAACAGACTCGCTCCCGGCACATATCGGCACATGCACCAAAACAGGGGCAGACTTGAGGCGCCAACCTACTGCCTCTTCACTCTTTTTGTTGGCTCTTCCAAGTACGTGCAACCCATCATAGCCTTAGGTTCAGGCGAGTCACATAACTTCCCATGCACAAAATCAAGAACTCAAACGTCCAGAGTCCAGACCGTCCAGAGTCGAGAAGCCGCGTCAATTTCACTAATAATCACTAATATGGCGAGCTACCCTCGTAACCAACAGGTCCAAGGATGGACCCACTGGCCTCACCCAATAGCTGAGAGAAAGCTGCCCAGCCTGGACCTTGAATGGTCCTTGGCCAGGCTTCAAAGGAAAGATGCTCGGTCGGGGGCCAAGTACACAAAGCCAAGTCCTCAACACAAGTGCTCAAGGTAGCTAGCACGAAGCAAAGACCATGCTATCAGCCTACAGATTTATGGGATATATAGTGATTGGTAAGGATTACTATGGCCACTTCTCTCATTGCTTTGCTAGCGTTCCCACTGACTGGTGGGTTCTTTGAAAACCAGATAGCTGCGTCATTCACGAATTCAGATGGCAAAAATCATAGAGCCAGCAGCCCAGCAGTGCATTCAAGACAGCAGTGCTTTCAGTGCAAGGAAAGCAGTGATACTGACTTTCATGGCCAGATGCGGACAAGATTCTTTGCCCGAGCACCCAGACACCGCCAGCATTTGATGGATGGAGTTGGCCGTGAACTGGGTTCGAACGTGGTATCCCAGCACCTGAGAAGTGAATGCTGTGTTTTGAAAGCTAATCATCCTACTGAATCAAACACATAAAACATGGGCAATTTCGTTTCTTGATCCGTGTGAAAATTTAGTTGTGAAGCTTCCAAGTTGCTAACCAATCCGAACGTGCCCATGTGCGCAGAAAAATTAGGACAGGCTGGGCAAAAAAGGAGGCATGAAAAAATAGCCCGGCAATGCCACGCAAACTTAGCTTTGATCACAAAACACGTTTTCACTGTCTTTCACCACATGACCGGAACACCTTTTGAAAGTAAGCCTTTGAAGGTGGCAATCCCTCGTGGCGCAAACGCGGTGTTGATCAAATAGTGCTGTTATACACAGAGTAATTACCCTGGACAGTTTGGGAAAGGGTGACTTCCAAAAGCGGTGCCCTGTTCTGGGTCCTGGTCAAAAAGGCTCGCTTTACTGCAAGGTCGGATTTGGAATTGGGAGTTGGAAAAATGGCGCCCCCGTTGCGACGGTCATAAAAATGATTTTTTTGGGGCACACAAAACTCTGGCATGGATGGGTTAGTGGATATGCATGTTGCGCAACCCTTTTGCAGCACTTCAGAGTTTGCATTGTTTTTATGCCCTTCAAACGCCAAAAACTTGAGATGCCCCTGACAGGTGTGACCCTTGTTCTGGTCTCAAATGTCTACGTAGATAGCTGGCGAGTCGTTAAATTACAAAGTCACTCAGTTAGTTAGTTGTAGTTAGTTATAAAGGTATACAATGAGTTGGTTATACTTAGCTATACAGCATTATACAGCTATAGTTAGCTACACTTAGTTATATATAGTTACATAGTTGTAGCTGGTATCGTCAGGCATAGTTAAAGATATAGTTCGAAGTTACAGTGATAAGTTATAAGTTATCAGTTGTAGTTGTAGTCGTAGTTGGGGTATCCCCCTTGACACTCGCCCCGAGAGGTTGGGCCTACCAAAGTGTAGGGTGCCCAGCCTACCCCCCTACAAAATGGTATGGGGACACCTACTCCATGGTAGCACCCATGGGGGTTGCTGCCTACAAAATTGTGGCCCCAGGGTACCCCACCTGCCCACCAACATCAAGTATTTTGGGTTAACATAGTGTCCAAAAAACTGTGAAAAATGGAAGAGCCATGTTGTAACACACAAAGCAACCCTGTGGTCGCACCCTGGTCTTTTTTGGGCGACCAATTTGTAGACAGTTTACTCTGTATGAAATGTCGTCGCAAAATCTCTCAAGCAATCCTTGCATATCTCAATTTTTCCCCACATTGACGTGTGGGGTTTTTGTTTTTAGTTCTGTATCCGCCTCCCGCCGCACTCCTCCCGTCCCCTCCCTCACACTCACTCACTCTCACTCACTCTGTGTGAGTGAGTGAGTGAGTGAGTGTGAGTGAGTGAGTGAGTGAGTGTGTGAGTGAGTGTGAGTGAGTGAGTGTGTGAGTGAGTGAGTGAGTGTGTGTGAGTGAGTGTGAGGTGAGTGAGTGAGTCTGAGTGAGAGTGAGTGTGTGTGAGTGAGTGAGTGTGAGTGTGTGAGTGAGTGTGTGTGAGTGAGTGAGTGTGAGTGATTGTGAGTGTGTGAGTGAGAGTGAGTGAGGAGTGAGTGAGAGTGAGTGTGAGTGAGGAGTGAGGAGTGAGTGAGAGTGAGTGTGAGTGAGTGTGAGTGAGTGAGTGTGTGAGTGACACTCACTCACTCACCTCACACTCACTCACACTCACTCACACTCACTCACACACTCACTCACTCACTCACAATCACTCACACACTCACTCACTCACTCACTCACTCACTCACTCACACACTCACTCACTCACTCACTCACTCACCTCACACTCACTCACACTCACTCACACACTCACTCACTCACTCACTCACACTCTCACTCACTCACACTCACTCACTCACTCACTCACTCACTCACTCCCTCCTCACATACACACACACACACTCACACACTCACTCACTCACTCACTCACTCTCACTCACACACACTCACGCACACACTCACTCACTCATGTGCATTTCGTCCCTTGGGTCCGCACACTCCACACTCTACACTTTACACTCTACACTTTGCATTCTACACTTTGTGCTCTACACTTCACACTTTCCACTTTACATTTTACACTCCTCACTCCACACTTTAAACTCCACACTCCACACTTTACACTGCACACTCCTCACTCCACACTTTACACTCCTCACTCCACACTCGAGACTCCACACTCCACACTCCACACTCTACACTTTCCACTCCACACTCTACACTTTACACTCCACACTCTACACTTTACACTCCACACTTTGCATTCTACACTTTTTGCTCTACACTTCACACTTTCCACTTTACATTTTACACTCCTCACTCCACACTTTAAACTCCACACTCCACACTTTACACCCCACACTCTACACTTTACACTCTTCACTTTACACTCCACACTTGACACTCTACACTCCACACTTTACACTGCACACTCCTCACTCCACACTTTACACTCCTCACTCCACACTCTACACTTTGCGCACTCCACACTCCACACTCCACACTCTGCACTTTCCACTCGGCACTCCAGACTCTACACTTTACACTCCACACTCTGCACTTTACACTCCACACTTTGCACTTTACACTCTACTCTCCAAACTCCACACTCTACACTCTACACTCCACACTTTACACTTGACACTCCACACTTTACACTCCATACTTTACACTCCAGACTCTACACCCCACACT